TGTTCCGTCCTTTATCAGCGCAACCGACGCGAACGGTTACACTGTGGTTTCGTATAGGTCTGTACGATTGTTGTACAATGAATTCACACACTGGTTTGTTATACTTCTTAGTTTATTAAAATTTGTGCACAACGAAACTGAGTTGAAGAAACGTGCGGTTTCTATACGTGTAATCTCGCATAGATGAACGTAGGACCGTTAGTAGTACGGGAATGGCCGAAAAGGTAAAGATTGGAGGACGAGCCTTCGTAGCCCCGATCCCCTCCGCTACCGCCGAATACAACCGAGTGTTGTTTTCGTGAAGAACGGAGGCATCGTCGCTGCCTGGTCATAGTATAGGAGTGTGTATGTGATTTTATGTATATGAGCCCATGCGAGAGCTGTCCCTCATGAAGGATATATATATGTCGTGCACGACTTAACGAATGAACGCATAACATACTCCCCCCGTTGAGAGAGTATGGATCAACTAATCTGTTTGAGTTCGAATGTTACTCTTATTGATTACATTACGCATATTACATATTTGATATATTGTTCATACAACGTTGTCATGATTTCGCATACGCATGTCGCTTAGTTATTGCTTCAACGGTAGTGGACACAACAATGATGTTGATCTTTTTATCACTCCGGCTGCGGTCTGGACAGTAGCCACTCGTACGACTCCGTCCTCGCCTGGGTGTACTTGTAGAATACGTCCCAGTGCCCACTGCATGCATGGCAGGTTTTTGTCTTTGATGGTGACGATCGTTCCGACCTCAATTTTCGGTCCGTTTTTGACCCATTTGATGCGCTTCTGTAGTTCGTTCAAATATTCTTTGTGCCATCGTGCCCAAAAATCTTGTCGCACCTTTGTTATGTGCTTCCAGGTAGATAAACGATTGACTGGAACATGTGACAAGTTGCCCTCCGGAAGCGATATTAGTGGTTTTCCAATCAAATAATGTGCAGGGGTTAAGACTAATATGTCGTTTGGATCGGATGATAAGGATGTAATCGGTCTGGAGTTCAGGATACCCTCGACTTCGGTGGTAAAAGTATCTAATTCCTCGAAGGTAAATAGAGAGTCTCCGACGACGCGTTTAAAGTGGTGCTTGAACAACCGTACCATCGACTCCCACAAACCGCCGAAGTGCGGTGCCATCGGTGGGATGAAATGCCACGTGATTCGCCGTTCGCTCGCGAATCTATCCACGATATTTCTGTGATCGTCCGAGTTAAATAAAACGTATAATTCTCTCAGCTTATTGTTTGCGCCTACAAAGTTGGTTCCATTGTCGGAAAAAATATGCTGCGGCAATCCCCTTCTCGCGATGAAGCGACGTAAAGCGGCAATAAAACCTTCGGAGGATAGGTCGCTGACAACCTCTAGATGCACTGCCTTAATTGTCATGCATACAAATATGCATACGTATACCTTGACCCGCGTGCGGTTACGATGTTTTTTCTCTTTAATAAAGAAGGGGCCGCAAAAGTCGACTCCAGTGTTAGAGAAGGGAATCGCCTGGCGTACCCGAACCGGTGGAAGGTCACCCATTTTATATTCGACCGCTTTGGCATTGAATCTCGAGCAGCGTGTACACGTACGAATAACTTTCCGAACCTGATTACGACCATCGAGGAGCCAAAATCTCTGTCGGAGGATATTCAGAGTAGCTTGGATACCCGTGTGATGATTATTATTATGGATCTCACGAATTATACAATCGGTTAAGTGGCATCGGTTGGGAAGTAAAATCGGGTGTTTTTGTGAAAATGTTAACTCCGCTCTCCTAATACGCCCCCCAATTCGAATGAGACCGCTTTGATCAAGAAACGGACTCAGAGCCGCGATGTTAGTCTTGCTTATTACGCGGTCGCTCTTGAGAGCTTCGATTTCGCCGGGGAATGCAACCTCTTGAGACGCCTTTAGCACCCGAATCTCCGATTCTTTGACTTCCTCAGCGCTTAAGGATTTAGTACGTTTACTGTCACGCCGAAAGCGAAGACAATACGCCACGACTCGAATTAACTTCGAATAAGATGAAAACCGTTCGAGCAACTCGAACTTACTCACGTCTGTCTGTAAACATATGTTTTTTCGCATCTCGGGAATCTCGATCGCACGCATGATGGCGTTAGGCCACTCGCTCTCGTTTCTAACCAACCACGACGGCCCTTCGAACCACGTTTGATTTTTCACGAACTCCCGAGGCAACTGAGCTCTCGAAATCGCGTCAGCCGGATTATCCCCGGAACGAACATGTCGCCATTCACCCGCGCTAGTTATCTCCTGAATTTCTTTAACGCGATTGGCCACGAACGTGTGGAGGGAGTGAGGTGAGGACTTCAGCCAGTGCAAAACGATAGTCGAATCACTCCAAAAAACCACTCTGCTAGGAGTAAGATTCAAGGCGCTACTGGCCTCGCTGAATAGACGAGCCAACAACAACGCTCCGCATAACTCAAGTCGCGGAAGTGTAACAGACTTCAACGGCGCGACCCGCGATTTCGCACACAAAAGTCTAGAAATCACTAAACCGGTCACTCCCTCCGAACGTATATACAAACATGCTCCATATCCGGTTGTACTGGCATCGCAAAATCCGTGAATCTGTACGTCACGGGCGTCCTTGACTAATAATTTGCGTGGAAAGGAGATTTGATCTATCAGCCCTAATTGTCTGACGAACTCCTGCCATTGGGTATATATGCTTTCCGAAACGGATTCGTCCCAATGCACTCCGGAACGCCACACGTCCTGCATTAACCTTTTCGCGTACAGTACTATTGGTCCCAACAAACCCAACGGATCAAAGATCTTTGCGACCGCGGATAGCAGAATTCTTTTTGTGAGCTTCTCGAAAATTTGAATAGGAGTAGTCGTATAACATATCGCGTCGTCACGTATGCTCCACGATATACCTAACGTCTTTAAAGAATGGTCTGTATCTAAAGCAAGGCTTGCATGTAACGCGCGCGTCGGTAAGTCCTTCATAACGCGTTCATCATTCGATGCCCACTGTCTAATATTAAAACCTCCCCGAGCAAGTAAGGCGGAAATATCGTCTCTTATCGATATCACTTCATCAATATCATTTGCCCCTGACAACAAGTTGTCTACGTATAAATGTGTTTTAAGTATCTCGGCCGCTTTGGGATACACGCGACGCTCATCGTCCGCCAATTGATGAAGGGTGCGGATTGCGAGAAATGGTGAAGACGACACGCCAAACGCGAGAGTATTAAATTGGAAAGTCTCAATCTTGTCGGTTTTACGCCACACAACGCGTTGATACTTCTGATCGCTTTCGCGTAGCAAAACTTGTAGATACATCTTTTCGATGTCCGCGGTCACCGCGTATTCGTAGGTTCGAAAACGAATTAAATGTGCAAATAGCGTATTCTGTATCGTCGGCCCCACCATTAATACATCATTCAACGATGTACCGGTAGTCGTTTTTGCCGATGCGTCGAACACTATCCGGATTTTGGTAATGTCGCTCGAATCCTTTAAAACCGCGTGATGTGGCATGTAGTACCCGTCGGTATCAGCGTCGTCTACCATTGAGATATGCTTTAATATGAGATATTGTTCGAACGCTCGCGTATATTCTTCCTTAAATGACGTGTTCCTGTCAAACTTTCGTTCCAATGCCGAAAATCGTTTAAGCGCCATACTTCGCGACTCTCCGAGGTGTTTACACGCATCACGAAACGGCAGCGAAACTACATACCGTCCGTTCGCGTTGCGAGAAGCCGTTTTCGCGAAGTGAGCTTCGCATTCGATTTCTTCCTTGGATCTCGGGTGTGTCCCGGAAATCTCCTCAATCTTCCAAAACTTAGTAATTTGATTCTCTAAGTCGATTAGCTGACAATTCATTAATTTTGAAGAAGAACAAAACGGAGCACTACCGGCGACCACCCAACCAAGACGCGTTTTCTGTATATATAAATCGTGGCCCGCATATGATAAGTTAATTTGACCTATACAGAAAAGCGATAAAGTCGTTCCTGATCCGATCAATAAATCTATGGGCCGGGGCAAATGGAAATTTGGATCGGCTAGCTTAATATTCGACGGTAACTTCATGAGCTCTCGCGGAAAGGCTTCAGACAGGATCGAGTTCGCTATGGCCGGGATCGTCAAACATGTCAGTTCTCTACAGAAGCCGTCATGTATTGACTGCACAGTGACGCGCACAAAGCCTCTCGATCTGGTACTTGTGTCGTTGATAGCGCCGATCGACGTAGCGCTCTCAATTACCGGGATACCTAGACGTTCGACAACGGACTCGGAGATGAAATTAGTGGTCGAACATGTATCTAGTAAGGCGCGACACTTGACAAAGCCCTTTTTGTAATCCCTAATGTACACCGAAGCGCTTGTGAGTAACTGCGGCGTGGATGAAATGAGCGCCGTTGACGCAAGGGTTACCGCCTCCCTTCCGGCCGAAGACACTAGTCATTCGGTTTGTATAGCCTCGGTTGTTACGGTACCGGGTTGGTGAGTGGCCGCGTAATTCTCCAGATGTAAGAGCGTATTGTGACGCTTCTGGCAAATAGTGCAACTCGAAAACCTGCACGGAGTGTTCCGGTGGGAGCGCAAACAATTAAAGCACACTTTGGCGCCCTTTACTAATTCGATACGCTTAGGTACCGACAAGCGCTTAAAGGCGTCGCATATATATAATGGATGTTTCTTTACTTTACATGCTACACAAACACGCGACGTGTTTAACAGAAATGCCTTATTAACGGCGTGTTTCTTCTTTTTAGCTGGGGGCTCACCTTTCTCTTTCTCCGAATCCGCGATCTTCGATCTTTCCCGCCTCGATACGCATACCGCGGTTTTGTATAAAAACTCGTACATATCATCGAGTTTGGGGAATTCGTCTCTCGAGAGAGTTGTTTCTCATTTTTCCAAGGTACGTCTTGGGAGCTTGCTTTCTAACACGTGAACGAGCATTTCGGCACCGACGGAAACTCCCAACGTGTTTAATAAGGCCACGTGTTGTTGGATATCATCCGCGAGCTTGGACAGGCCGTCTGATGTTTCCTTTTCTAATACGGGCATGCTTGTGATTAAAGAGAGATGCCGTGAAATCAAAATACGTTTAACCTCATATGACCGTTGCAATAACTCCCATGCCTTAGAATAATTTATTCCGTCGATCTCGAATATCCTTGTCTTATTGGCCGCTTCCCCATTCAAACTTGATTTCAGATAGTGTAACTTATCTACATCGGAAAGATCATCTCGCGACCCTATCATATTGTGAAACGCGTTTTTAAATGACAACCACTTCTCGACCTTGCCGTCGAACGTGGGCAGCGGCGTATCTGGCAGCTTCATTCGCCGCTTTTTTGCCCTGGTTGAATTATCAACGTTATCGCTTCGTGCATCGATACTAGATAAACCGCTGACTGTTGAACCCGCCGCGCTTAAGGTGTCGTCAACTCTAGTCGCGATAGCAAAAAACCGCTCTTGAATCTGGGTAAATTCGTCTTGGTGGACATCGCTTGGATCTACCAGAGCAAGTTCGTCGTTGTACTCTTCGAACGCGTTAAATAAGTCGGTTATACGCGAGACTCGTAATTTCAATGAAGTGTTACTTAATTCACCTTTGTCGAGGAGATTCGAAAAACTGGTTAATTGGGATTTTAAAGAGGTTCGCTTTTGGACAAGGAATTTGATTCTCTCGGCCATTGTTACGTTTGACTGTAGTCAAAGTGTAAACGAATAACTTACGCTAGTCTATACGTCTGTGTATGGAATGCGACGGATGTGCCACTTCTGATGATTGGATTGAATCGTATGTCGATGATGGTTGTTTCACAGAAGTCGAGCCAATGTCAATGTCCTTGGGCATCGAGCGCTCGTACCTCACAGGAGGCACCAAAATGTTCCGTCCTTTATCAGCGCAACCGACGCGAACGGTTACACTGTGGTTTCGTATAGGTCTGTACGATTGTTGTACAATGAATTCACACACTGGTTTGTTATACTTCTTAGTTTATTAAAATTTGTGCACAACGAAACTGAGTTGAATAAACGTGCGGTTTCTATACGTGTAATCTCGCATAGATGAACGTAGGACCGTTAGTAATACGGGAATGGCCGAAAAGGTAAAGATTGGAGGACGAGCCTTCGTAGCCCCGATCCCCTCCGCTACCGCCGAATACAACCGAGTGTTGTTTTCGTGAAGAACGGAGGCATCGTCGCTGCCTGGTCATAGTATAGGAGTGTGTATGTGATTTTATGTATATGAGCCCATGCGAGAGCTGTCCCTCATGAAGGATATATATATGTCGTGCACGACTTAACGAATGAACGCATAACAATGCTTATTATCATTGTGTGTGAATTTTATATACCGCGTATGTAGTTTCTCTAATCGCGTGCCGAAAATTTTTTTCAGACTTTACAACGCAACTCTAAATAACTACCGCGGTAATATCACTTTAATTTTAATTGGATTTATATCATTTTAATTGGAAGAAAGAAAATTATACCTAGAGCATCTGAAATTTCCGTAAGTTATATACACTATTTGAGTTATTTTATTCTTTTCTACTATTTATCAATTTAAAGCTATAATATTACCGTAGAATCATGATGCGGATATTACTTTAAGAGATGATTTTCTTTCACTAACAAATTGACTAAAGAAGACTATTAGACGGATTTCCATATATTTAATTTATAATGTTATTTCCAAATTTGTATTTGACTGAAGAGGACTTCTGTATGAGTCGAAACGTTTCGTATTTAATTAATTATATTATTTAATAAAGATTGTTCATCTTATATTTTATTGCTTGTTTATAATACCGACATTAATATCATAGATTTTGTTGTTTTTTATAAAAATTTATATTAGTTAAATAGGTATAATAGAAAGATGTTATCAGAAGAGAGCCATGTAAAATAATATTATAATAATTGAATATATAAATAGTGTATTTTACAATTACTACCGAATGTATAAATGCATTGTATAGTCAGTTTTAAGCAAACTTTTTGACAAAAGAAATTACAACACACTAAACTTTTCATAAATTTTAATTTTGAAAAACACAACTCTTTCAACACGTTACCGCAGACTGGGGATCCAGTAATCGGCCTTCACCAAGCTCTCCGTCTTGCCTACAGAGAAATGACCTCACTCGTGTACCATCTGGATGATCTGACTCTGCATCTTCTTTGGAACTACAAGTTGTAAATCACCATTAGATTCTTTAAATAACAGATTACCTCGAAGTAGATAGTCTCGAGTCTGTCCACGAAGAACCGAGTCACGCAGCTTCTTCACAACGTCATCCTCCTTCTGCGCCTTCCCAAGTCTAGCCGTCAGTCCCATGGTGGAAGTATACATGGTGTGCTCAGAACTCGTAAACCACGCCCCTTTTCAACGCGGTTGTCACCGAAAAACATAGGGCGGCCAACTTAGAAAGGTTGGCAGTACTGAACTAGTAGTGTCTCTTTTATGCATGCGCCGTGGAGCATCTATCTCAGTCTGTCTTTAGCCGTCTCCTGAAAGAAACGTGCAGGCCTGTTATTTTGAAATTAAAGTGAAAATTTGAAGTAAAATGGTGCGGTGTATTGTTAAAGCGTGTAAGAACACCAACATAACGTGTACTCCGGAGGAAGTAAGCTTCCACAAGTTGCCGAATAATGCCATTATGCGTGAAGGATGGCTTAAAAACATAGGAGGAAGTGTAATTCCATCCAATACTCTAAATGGTAAGTGTTGATAATAGTAATATTTAATTACTTTAAGTCAAATTTATGTCAATGTTTATTTTTACTTCGATTTTGTTGAAACATTATAATATTATCTTCTTCTGCTACTTTTTCTGAGACTCCAAAAATATACATTTTACTCGTATGCATACATGCACATTGAGTAAAATTGATATAGACAATTTATGTAAAATCTGTAAAGTGTTTTTCTTAATAATGTCTATTACTTATATTAAATTAACTACTAAAACTATCTGAAATATTGGAGTCTACATTCGGCAATGGAAATACAGCTAGTGTCGAAGAAGACACCGATTCATGCTGCAATGCACATGTAAGCTTAGTTTATAAGCTTAGCTTATTATGCACATGTGAATATATACATACTTTAATTACAATTATTAAGATATTAAAGTAGAGATGTCAATGTTTATATGCATTGTGTGTCTGTGTGTATACATGTGCTGCTTCCTAGTGTGATTTGCAACATAACAGCGCGAAATACCCACTATTCTAGGAATATTTTTTGTGGTGGCAGGTCTATTTTTTTCGGCGACAAGAAAAGAGAGAGTCGGGAGATTTTAGAATGAGACAACGCAAAACTAAGCACACCATGTATACTTCCACCATGGTCAGTCCCGCATTCGACTCGCCGATCACCAAGCACTCTGGCAACGGATTACGGCTGAGTGCATCGACATGCGTCATATTTCTTCCGGGGCGATGCTCCACAGTGTACTGGAACTCTTCCAACAGCAGGGCCCATCGCGCAACCCGCACGCACAAGTCTTTTTTGTTCATGGTGAGCACAAAGGCACGACAATCAGTCACAATCTTGAATGCGATACCCAACAAGTAGACGCAAAATTTTCTTAATGTCTTAATCACAGCCAAGACCTCCAACTCGTAGCTCGTATATTTGAACTCAGCAGGCGTCGTCTTCCCACTGGAGTAGTAAACAGGATGGAAAAGACCATTCTCATTATTTTTTTGTAGCAAGATCGCACCATATCCGTGCGCGGAAGCGTCTGTATGTAACTCCGTGTCCGCTCCAACTCGATATAAGTTTAACACTGGCTTCTCGATCAACGTCGTCTTGAGTCGCACAAAGGCACTCCTCTCTGCATCATCAAAATGGAATCGCACACCCGTTTTCAGAAGATCCGTCAGTGGGCGTGCTATTGTGGAGTATCCAGGGATAAACTTCCGAAAATAGCCACTCAAACCCAAGAAGCTCTGTACATTCCTGATGCTTGTCGGCTCAGGGAAACGTGGTACCGCTTCGGTCTTATGATCCGACGGACGTACGCGTCCTCCCTCAATGACATGGCCAAGAAACTCCACCCTGGTCTGAAGGAAACTGCACTTCTTTCAATTTATATTGAGTCCAGTTTTGCTAGCTGTCTCTAGAACCATTTAAAGTCTCCTCACGCCGTCTTCGACATCTCTTGATGGAATGATCAAGTCGTCCATTATAAGCCAGAATCACGCCACGCCGCATCAGATCCTTAAAGACCGAATTAATGAATCTCTGAAACACAGCCGGCGAATTACAGAGACCAAAAGGAGCTCTTAGAAATTCGTAATGCCCGTCAGGGACGATGAAAGCCGTGTACTTTCTACTCTCTTTGTCCATCTCCACGTGGAAAAATCCATTCTTCAAGTCAAGCACACTGAAAACCCGAGCGTCCTGCAACAAGTCCAACTGATCCTCTATCAGTGGCAGAGGGTAGCGATCCTTAATAACTTTCTTGTTAAACATTCGATAATCGATACACAATCTAGTCGACCCGTCTCTCTTTTTGACCAACACCACTGGACTAGCGTAATCCGAAGTAGATGGTTGAACGATTCCATCTTCGATCCATTCGTCAATCTGGTCATTGACTGCAAGCCTCTCCGACGGAGACAACCGCCTTGCTGACTGGTAGACTGGCTCTTCATCGCTTAAAATAAGTTTCATTTTAACATCATTTATATACGTTTTGCTTGGCTTATAGCTCTCAACAAGACTTCGCAGCGCCGTCTGCTGCTCAACGCTCTCCACAGAAGCAACATCTTCACGACATGTCTCCGGACTCTCCTCCTCCATCAAGTCTATTTTAAATATTTCCGGAATTGCATCTTCAATACTGCACATTGATTGCACCGGGCTGATGGAAACTTCTCCCAGTTTGATATTAACCTCCACAGTATCCAGAAAATTGGTTCCTATTAACATTTGATACTGAAACAAAGTATCTGAAACCACTTATATACGTATGGGATAAGAGTGACCGTCGATTACGATCTCAGTTTGAAACTCTCTCAAGGTCGTATTATCGTCTGATCCTATGCCACGAAACCACACTCCTCCAGGGGGCCTATTCTGTAACTTTTTAACGCATGCGTTATAGTCATAACGCATGCGTTATATGGGGAGTAACGCATGCTTTACGATTTCGTATTCTAAAAATATGTCTTAACGTACGATGTTGTCAAGTTGCGTTACATTTGCGAAAAGTTCGCGTTATATTATCTTTAACTAGAAAATTGTATTCTGTAAGCTATCTGAACGCAATTTGTAAAGTATCTCTTCGCGTTATGTAAAGTAACATTAACGCGGGCTATTGGACAGCGTTAAATTCATTAACGCAATCATATAGTTAGGTTAATGTAACTTTTGTAATCGTGGATACAGTACACGGGTCTCGAAAATCCAATTATTTCAACATACGAAGGCTAAAAAAAGAAGTGGAGTACGGTACAAGACTCAATGTTAAGTCAGGTACCTACACTGAATCAAAACGGTAAGTAAATACAATAAAATATTAATTGAATTAATGAAAATTGGTCCAATGAATTCCCATAACGATTTAGATTACAAAATTATTAGAATTCATTGCAAGAGTGAATATGTAGTTAAATAAATGAATGTAGTTATTGTATCAATGGATTAACTACATTAAGTTGGACATTAAATCAAAATTGATTGACGATCATTCATTGGACCAAAAATGACCAAGATTTTTTTCATTGTATTTAACAATATATTAGTTTCTTATTTCTACTAATAATAAATATTACCAGATAATATTTAGTACTAATAATACATATAATGTAGAAGTTCAAAATTTATCAAAGAAATGGCTGCACCACTATTAAGAAATTTATTAAATGTTGCTGAAGAGGAAGCAATGAGAGAAAATTGTAAAGTTATGAAAGCATTAAGAGATAATATCGACCCATTTAATTTAATAGATGACCAATTTATCAGAATTTTTCGATTGTCAAAAGAAGCGGTGACTTATTTATGTAATGTACTTGAACCCTTTGTGCAGCGTAGACGAAAGAGTGGAATAAGTGTACAAACCCAAGTAATTATGTATTCAATTATATAAACATTAAATATATATATTTTTTATTAAATACATTACTGAAAGTAGTAACTATGTGTTATAAACAATGCTTTTAATGTTTGAAATAGGTTTTATGTGCATTAAGATTTTTTGCTATTGGCTCCTACCAGAAAGGTATCGGCAATGATTATTTAGTATCATTATCACAACCAGCTGTGAGTAGAGTGGTAAGGACAGTAGCATTAGCTATTATTGAAGTGCTTGCTCATGAATGGATAAGATTTCCAAGGACAGAAGAAGAACGAGCAGTTTTGAAAGAAAGGTAATATTATATTATTTGTATAATTATAATAAAACTTTAAAACTGATTGTGTATATATATATATATAATATATACAATATATACAAAAATATGTGCATTACATAATAATTTCATAACAATATAATTTAAATAATTATGCATGAATGATCTTAAATGTAGTTATAATTGTTATAAACGGTTATATATTGATTGTAAATAATTTCTTATTTTAAATAATAAGCTTGTCTACTTTCACTTTACTTATGATTATTATAATAATTTTTTGTTTCTATTAAAAATATGATTACAGATTTCAAGAAGAAAGAAATTTTAAAGGAGTAATCGGTTGCCTCGATTGTACTCACGTAGCAATTGTGAGACCTAAAATTCATGAGGAAGCATACCTTAACCATAAAGGTTTCCATTCTATAAACGTGCAGGCAGTAAGTCTCACTAGAAATAATTATATTGTAAATAAACATAATGCACTGATATGTATTGTATAAAATGTAATCATTTAACTCTATTAATATTATTGATAAGGTATCGTCGCACGATTTAGAAATTCTGAGTATAAACGCCAGATTTCCAGGAAGTGTACATGATAACTTTATTTGGAAAAATTCTGCCGTAAGGAATGAAATGATGCGGTTATATGAATCTGGAGAGCAATCAACATGGCTTTTGGGTTAGTATGTGCGCACATGATTGCTATTTTATATTTATTTAATAATAATAAAATATGTTTCATTGATAGGCGATTCAGGCTACAGCTTGGAACCTTGGTTAATGACACCAATCATAGGTGCAGCAGAAGGAAGCGCAGAAGCTCGATACACAGAATGTCATTCATCAACTAGAAATTGTGTCGAAAGAATGTTTGGACTTCTAAAAAATGTATGGAGATGTCTCCTCAGTCATCGTGTATTGCATTACGAACCAATTATAGCATCAAATATAATAACAGCTTGTGCTGTATTGCACAATATTCGATTTCATTTTAATCTTATGCATAGAGAATTCGATATAGATGAAGAGGGCGAAGCTGAAGCTGTCCAAAGAGCTGAACTTGCAAATGTCAGAGCCTGTAACCGTATCAGAGCACAAGAAATAATTGATGCTAATGAAGCGCATTTAAATCAGGGAAATAGATTAATAGAAGCAAGAAGAGTACAGAGAAGAATTCTTCGAACTCAATTTGATTTACGAGAAGATTGAACGATTTGATAATATTCAAAATGATTTATTATGCGATTATACATATATTTGTTTTACTTATTATACTTTGCTTCTTATACTAAAAAAAAACTATATAATAAAATATCGAAACATAAATAAAAACATTTTTATCTATATTATCTTAAAAACATTTCTTTAAAACATTCTTATCTATATTATCTTCATATCTTATTCTTATCCTGAACCTTAGTCCTGAACAGTCGTAGAAAAAACATTTATTAACTGATCTAATGTAATTAATAATGCTTTGAAAAGTTTATTTTGTTCTTCTGTTCCAGAAGCAATGCGGTTTAATGTTCCAAGCATTTCCTAGTAATATATAAAAATGCATTAGAATTATGTAATTTCATTTATAAACCGTTATTCATATTATATTTTAAAACATTAAGTTCGTGAGCGCGCGCACGTAAAAAGTGTATACATATATGCATACGAAATAGGAAGTTTACAATTATTTTATGAAATAGAAAGAATCAGATAAATTATAATATACCTGTAAAGTTTCATTTTGTTTTTCTTGCGTCTTTGTAATGTAATCTTTCGTTTCTTCTATATTAGAGCTTTTCAGACGTTTCTCTTGAAGAATAAAAATCTTAATTAAGAAATAACGTAATATAAATGTATAATAATATTGAAAACAAATTTCACCAACGTGAGTTAAGCAAATCAATCGATTAAATTCAGTGTTGTATTGGAATTGTCCAAACATCATTTGTTGTTAACCAGCTTTTCCAGAATTAATCAATTACGCTTGTAATTTGATGAACTGATTTGATTAATTTGCATTGATGAAATAGGCCCTGAATAATGTTGGAACATTTATATTATACATTATACTTACTGCTGCATTTAGTTGCATTTAATATATCAGCCAATGGTCGTTTCGAGATTGATTTTAGTGCAGTTGAAATATTAGAAGATACATGTTTACTACTAACAGGGGACTCATTAATGGACTGATCAGTTGTTTTTAATGCAGTTGAAATATTACAAGATAAATGTTGGCTACTGGTAGAAGGCTCATCAATAGACTCATGAAGAATTAGATCAGTGATAGAATTATATGATTTACGTGTTTGTTCATTAACATTTTGTACAAAAGTATCTTCTTCGTTCAATGGAAATGAAATAACATTCTCTTCATCATTTATATTTTTATCAGTTATTGCAATTTCCTAAATATAAGACAATTTATTTTACTTAAAAAATTGTTGTGCCTAAAGAGACTAATAGCGTTTTCCACTGGGAAAACTGGTGCAGTACTAGCGCCGTGCTATCCAATCAGCATACCATATTTAAAAAATATTTTTTAAATATGGTATGCTGATTGGGTAGCACGGCGCTAGTGTTGCACCAGTTTTCCCAGTGGAAAACGCTATATATTTAATTTTATTATATTAGTTTACATGTACTACTTACATTTTCTTTGTCATTAATGGTAATATTTTCTTTCTCCGAGACATTATTAGATGTCAATCCTAATACTAATGATGGATCATTAATATCCTGTTTAAATAGACAAATTTTAATTTATTCATGACATGCAAATAATAAAAATAGGAATGTAAAAGTATAAAATAATTAAAATAAATACACAGGATAAAGCCATGATGCCGTGGAATATATGAAAGATCAATAATGTTTATATAATTATGTGTAAAAAAAACAAACCTCAGGTCGTTCCCCAAATCCTATTTCCATTATAGGTAATCCTACCGAGGATTCGCCTCCAAAAATAGATAAAATTCGTAAATCAAAATCCTTCAACTGAATGTTTTCTCCTGTATTGCCAGTACGTCGTTGTACTTCTTTGGCTTTTGCTGCACGAGACCTAGCTTGGCTTCTCTGATCACACCAAAGCTATAATATGTTACATCAATTTTATAAAGAAGAAGCATTTTGTTAAAAGAAAAAAAGCAATGTATAAAGAAATAATATTTAATTTATGAAACGTATATAATATAACATACCTTTTTCCAACCTTCTATATTTTTTGATGGTCCATCTAAATGATTTAACTGTTCCATTAAGTGTTTCCATTGGTCATCATGAGCTGGCTTTCCCCTTGCTCCTAATAATTTGCCAGTAGCGAAAGCAGTATGGTTCTCCATGTATGCAATTAGAAAATCTAGCTGCTTCATCGTTGCTTTAGGAGCTCTTGTCTTTTTCTTTTCGGTTTTCATACTAACAATATAAAATTTATTATGCTTTGTTATATACATGTATGTACACAAAGTAGATTAAAAATTTATTCCTATTCTCATATTTAAAATGTATGCATACATCTATAAATTTATTCTAATATCTTTACGAATTAAGCCATCCCTATTGAAAAAATCATGTCACACAAGTTAATTTAGAAAATTAAGAAATATAATTAGCAGAAACAAATTGTATTTATATGCATAAAACTGGAACATATTTTCTAAAAAAATTTGCTCATTGATATGATATAGACATTGGACGCTAGTTGGAAAAGAATTTAACATAATGTCAAAATAAAGGACAATAAAGGACAATATTGGAAAATAAAGGACAAAATTAAATTTTAAAGAAACAAATAAATGTAAAGGACAGCTATACCTGAAATAAAGGATTGTCCTTTGCAATAAAGGACGTATGTTCACTGTAATTATATATTAGGTTAAGTTATTAAATTAATTATAATTAGATCATTAACAATATTATATTTACATAATAATCTCGAAATAAATGACTCTCGATATATCAAATATATAATAAAAAGGTATAAAGGCTAATAAGAGTCACGCAATTATCAAACGAAGTGTCTTTAAAAAAACATCTATACAATAATAATAGTAATAAAATAATTACAAAACATCGTGAAAATATTTCTTTACAATAACGCAAACATTACATTATATTTACAAACATTTTTTTACGAACATTATATATTTTATAATTTATTTATTGTATGTATATAAATTAATGTAAAATAATATAACCTATTATGCATTTATATATTTATATTATATATTTACCTTGAATAACTTTTTGCCCCCTTACTATTAGTTGCTGTTTCTTGGCTATTTTCACACATTTCTTTACTTAGATAGTAATATTGAAATAATTTAAATTCTTTCCGTTGATTGGTTTAAAGTTTATTACATCATCATTTCGTCCTAGTTTCTTCGCATCTTGCGTTATAATTCCGAAGATGCCCGAAGTATCGACAACTCATAACGCAAAGCGTAAACATAGCTTACAGAATATAGTTCTGAAGAATAATGCGTTACGAGATAACACAAACCTCGTTAGAAGATTTATAACGCAAAAAGTTACAGAATAGGCCCCCAGGCCTGAAACATGGCGATCCCAGCTTCACGTATTCATCCGCACGCATCATTGTGAGGTCACTACCAGAATCTATTAGAGCCTTTATTTGTTGTTCACCAACAACAACATCTTTAACATATCTTCGCTTGATAGGACGCGTGGCAGCGTAACTTCTTTTTGTACCTTCTATTTTCCTAGGACATTTCGAAGCAATGTGTCCACGTTCATTACACTCAAAGCATTTTACTCCTTGTTCTTTCGTCGGGCAATTAATTCCTAGATGATCACGCATACCGCAATTATGGCAATGGATGGCAATATTCTTCTTATTATTATCGCCAACCTTGTTTTCTTTCTTCTCTCCTTTGCTGTTATTTCTATTATTATTATGCTTCGATGTGTTTGACATACCTCGTTCTCGGAAGGTCACTTTCTCAAAACCTCTCAAAAGCGTGTCCACAGTTTCGAATCCCTGCACACGTGCCTGATTTCGTAGCGCCTCATCTGGTATACCATCAATAACATATTCGAGCAGCTCGTCATCGTCGATTGGAACTCTATTTCCTATGATGATTTTCTCATGACAGTATTCATGAAAAGTCTCGTCCTTCTTCCAGATACGCTCTTCAAATTTCTTTCTCATAGTCACTTTGGTCTGCCGCCGGTGGAACATGCTCTGCAGCTCACGCAAAAGTGAGTCAAATGGCATTCCCACGTATTCCGGTTTAGAATGCAGCCACTCCAAAGCTTTGCCTTTCAAGCGCATGCCGATTATCAGTCTTGCAGCGTCGTCCTCCAGTCGATAGGTAGCTTTTAACAATCGGATCTGCTTCTCCCATATATCATAAGTCGCCGATTTGCCATCAAAATAACTAAGTAGATCAGCAATAGCTGTTATATTCACTCTCGCGTTCGCAGATTGACCTCGCACATCATCATCATCGTTCACAACTCGCTGCCGAGTCCCGCCACCGACCGCGTTCTCACCCTCCTGAGGCATCTGACCTCGACGCACCAACTCCAATTCGCGTCGCATCAACTCCAGTTCGCGCTCCGCCAACTCTTTCTCTCTTCGATAGATCTCGATTTCTTTCTGTTGCACATCGAGATTCGGTCGCGCACTCGTCTGCGATGCACCCTCAACATTACCATGTTGATCACTAACTTCACTGCCCGCACCTTCGTCGCGCAGCCACTCGCCACTCGGATCGGCTTCCATCACTCGTATTATTAATTCTGCTTTCGTTCCCGCCGATGAATATCCACGCTCCTCGAGCACTCTCTTTAACGCGACAACCGTAAAATCGCTCAAGTTCCTCATACGGATCAAAATGATTTCGCAGTTCTTAAAGTCACATTCCTCGCACAACACACAATTTAAATCAGCTGTTCGTTATCACACTCTTTGTCTTTAGTATACACACGAACTATACGCCGAAAATATATACACACTTTTTGTGTTTAGATCACCTTGCGCGCGGTCACGGTTTGTTCGCGTGTCACATCTAGAACTTTCGTTAACGGCTCTTTCAATCTCTGGACGAGCCCCCAAAATTTGTAGGAATGTGACTTGGAAACTTGAAAGAGTTGTGTAATTTTGAAATTAAATATAAGCTTAATTAATTAAAAAATGTCCAGTCAAATTTATTACTATGTTATTACATAAATTTCGCGAAGTATACGTCTCGTTACATTGTCCGTCTTTTCTCGTCGTCTGTCTAAAATCACTCCGATTTCACAAAACGCTCGACTCGTACTCGTTTATATACTCAAGAATCTCAATATAACTTAGAAGCGCTTTACTCGTAACTCGTATCTCGTATTTTAACAACTCGCCACTCGTATTCGTTTCTCTATATATATATTTCGCAGCACAGACTTTTCCTTCGCACGTCTCGATCTCGTCTCTCATCTTAACTGACTGCTACTTTTAAAATTGCTCGCGATCGACGCGACTTATATATATATATACATTTATTAATTATATATACTATAATTTAATGTAATTTTTTTAAAAATTAAGTAATAATTAAAAGCTCAGAAGAATAAATCAAAAATAATAAAAAATGCTAATATGAGCCGACACTGCAGATGATAATGTGTATATGATAATATTTCTTTATTATAATTATGTATATGTTATTTCGATCTCTGCTTGAGATCGAAACGTATACCTAATTACAATACAGAATAAATATTATCATACACACTATCATCCAGTGTCAGCTCATATTGGCATTTTTTATTATTTTTGATTTTTTCTTTTAAAAATGCTAACGAATTTTTAGACTATATTATGGAGGTCAGATGGATCTCTGATAGAGGCATTTCCAATATCTGTTTCAAAAATAAAATCCCATGGAATGACTCAAGAGATGCGAAGGATCTCAAATGGAGGTATATGACTTCTAGCATCGAAATAGTGTTTCGTGGAGCTACGGAAGTAAGATGGAATCCTAATGAACGTTTATGTGAGTCCCAACGTCGAAATATAGGGCTTCATGAAGCTATACAGACATGATGGAGTTCTAATGAATGGACGTCCATCTGACTTCCACTATTAAAGAAAGTAAAATATGAATATATAGAATCGCAATATCAGATTTCAACTGTGAAAATATAAATCTATTGGCCTATAGATATTTACTGGAGCCCTAATAGATATCTATCCGATTTCCACGACGCAAATAAGATCCAATACATCTATGGAGGGCAGGTGAACGTCTAACGGAGACCTCTCTAACTGATTTCCAACGTGGAAAAAATCTGGTACAAACATGGAGGAAGAATGGATGTCTAATAGAGATCTATTCGATATTCAACGTGGAAATAAAATCTCGTAGAGCCATAGAAGTAGGATGGATGTCAAATTGAGACCTATCCAATTTCCATCGTGGAAATAAACCTTCGTGGAGCTATGGTGGTAGGATGGATGTCTAATGGGGATCCATCCAATGTCGATCGTGGAAATAAAGTTTTGTGGAGCAATGGAGGTAGGATGGCCGTCTAATGGAGACCTATCCAATTTCCACGATGGAAATAAAATCTCGTGGAGCCATGGAGGTAGGATGGATGTCTAATGGGGATCCATCCAATGTCGATCGTGGAAATAAAGTTTTGTGGAGCAATGGAGGTAGGATGGCCGTCTAATGGAGACCTATCCAATTTCCACGGTGGAAATAAAATCTCGTGGAACCATGGAGGTAGGATGGATGTCTAATAGAGATCTGTCCAATGTCGATCGTGGAAACAAAATCTCGTGGAGCCATGGAGGTAGGATGGATGTCTAATGGAGACCTATCCAATTTCCACGGTGGAAATAAAATCTCGTGGAGCCATGGAGGCAGGATGGATGTCTAATGGAGATCTATCCTATTTCCATCGTGGAAACAAAATCTCCTAGACCCATGGAGTTAGGATGGATGTATAATGGAGATCTATCCAATGTTGATCGTGGAAACAAAGTCTCGTGGAGCCACGGAGGTAGGATGGATGTCTAATGGAGGTCTATTCTATTTCCATCGTGGAAACAAAATCTCGTAGAGCAACGGAGGTACGATGAAAGTCTAATAGAGATCTATCCAATGTCGATCGTGGAAATAAAGTCTCGTGGAGCAATGGAGGTAGGATGGACGTCTAATGGAGGCCTAACCAATTTCCACGGTGGAAATAAAATCTCGTGGAACCATGGAGGTAGAATGGATGTCTAATGGAGATCTATCCTATTTCCATCGTGGAAACAAAATCTCGTGGAGCCATGGAGGTAGTAGAACGGATGTCTAATGGAGATCTATCCTAATTCCATCGTGGAAGCAAAATCTCGTGGAGCCATGGAGGTAGGATGGATGTCTAATGGAGATCTATCCTATTTCCATCGTGGAAACAAAATCTCGTGGAGCCATGGAGGTAGGATGGATGTCTAATGGAGATCTATCCTATTTCCATCGTGGAAACAAAATCTCGTGGAGCCATGGAGGTAGGATGGATGTCTAATGGAGATCTATCCTATTTCCATCGTGGAAACAAAATCTCGTGGAGCCATGGAGGTAGGATGGTTGTCTAATGGAGATCTATCCTATTTCCATCGTGGAAACAAAATCTCGTGGAGCCATGGAGGTAGGATGGTTGTCTAATGGAGATCTATCCTATTTCCATCGTGGAAACAAAATCTCGTGGAGCCATGGAGGTAGGATGGATGTCTAATGGAGATCTATCCTATTTCCATCGTGGAAACAAAATCTCGTGGAGCCATGGAGGTAGGATGGATGTCTAATGGAGATCTATCCTATTTCCATCGTAGAAACAAAATCTCGTGGAGCCATGGAGGTAGGATGGATGTCTAATGGAGATCTATTCTATTTCCATCGTGGAAGCAAAATCTCGTGGAGCCATGGAGGTAGGATGGATGTCTAATGGAGATCTATCCTATTTCCATCGTGGAAACAAAATCTCGTGGAGCCATGGAGGTAGTAGAACGGATGTCTAATGGAGATCTATCCTATTTCCATCGTAGAAGCAAAATCTCGTGGAGCCATGGAGGTAGGATGGATGTCTAATGAAGATCTATCCTATTTCCATCGTAGAAACAAAATCTCGTGGAGCCATGGAGGTAGGATGGATGTCTAATGGAGATCTATCCTATTTCCATCGTGGAAACAAAATCTCGTGGAGCCATGGAGATAGGATGGATGTCTAATGGAGATCTATCCTATTTCCATCGTGGAAATAAAGTCTTGTGGAGCAATGGAGGTAGGATGGAGGTCCAATAGATGTCTATCTGACTTCCATCATGGAGATAGACGTCCTATGG